CCGACTCACTCCACCACACACCTAATTTTTCACTAACTTCAGGTTATTGAATGTGTTTGGTTCTACATTTTGCGCCTATATTATTAAGTGTCTTTGACAGGAACATACTCATCAGCAGAAGGTACGTTGTAAGTTTCCTATATAGTTACATATAGGATTATATCTAAAGAACTGATGAGGGGGTGGAGCTTCAAACACCCCTTGTTCAATTTGGATTTGTACCTTCATCAGCTTTCAGATGTGATGAATATGTTTCAAGCTCAGACACTCATTGTGGAGCTAAGTTTGACTCTGGGATTTGAACCCTGCACCACAGATCAATGAAGCACCAACAGCCATGGGACAAACCCACTAGGCTACCTGCCAGCTGTAATCACAAAGGTTTTACTTCCCTATGTTTAGCCACTTACCTGTGTGAAAGTGCACACACATTTGTTCCTGAACCCCGTGGGGACTTTCCATTGACTTTATTCTTTTTTTTAAGACTTCATAACCTAACCCTGACCATTTACCCTAAAATTAACCTCACAGGTACTTACCTGAGCCTAAAACTAACCTAAACCTTGGTCCTAAACCTAACCCCACATGCGCACACAACCCCGTTCCATCATTGTATTGTGTGATTGTTAAGAACACATTAAACGCCATATTTTTTTATTTTTTAGAGCGGGGTTCACATTCACTCACCAGCTGTGTATATTTGTTTTCTCCAAAAGCCACACACAAATATTTTAGTCCAACATGTGTACTGTTTTGTTTTGTTTTTTACATTTCTTTCTTTCTATTTCTGACTAAACCTGTTTTTTACACTTTATTTTAGTTCCTCTGTACATTATAATTTAAAACAACACTCAGGTGGGGAGGACGACAGCTGTGATCTTTGTCTTCTCAGTCCATCTCAGACCTCTAGTGGCAACTCTTAACCACTTGAGAGTCCTCTGGAGCAGTCTTAGTGGAAATCTAAGAAATTTTCAACACTTAAGTCTTAAATTCCACTCTAAGAAGTTTGATAAATACAGGCCCAGATCTTTAGATATAATATAATCCTATATGAAACTACATAGGAGATTTACAAAGTACCTTCTGATGAGCTTGTTCCTGTCAAAGATGCTCAATAATATAGGTGCAAAATGTAGAACTAAGCACATTCAATAACCTGACGTTAGTGATTAATTAGGTGTGTGGTGGAGTGTGTGTGTGCGTCAGGCTGAGACCAGATAAAAAAAAAAGTAAACTAATCAGAAAGCTCAACAGAGCGGTGCCTACCAGCCTTTTGTTTTTATACTCATTTAAATTAAAAAATACTTCAGTTTTATTTACCTTCATCAAACAGGTGCGATGAACATGTCTCTCTCTCAGACACCCTGGTGTGAGTGAGACAGTAGGGTTGGGCATAATCGTATCGTGTGCAATTAATCGTCAGAAAAACAATCAATTATTTTTTGGCACTTGATGATTAATACGATTAATGCCACCAGGCAGACTGACCGCTCGGTGCTCCTCTCTGCTTCAAATATGATAAACATTTTAAAAGTTTCGTAATTTTTTATCTACCAACACGGTTTAAAATTTGATTTATAGCCTGAAGTCTGTAATTTTGACACAGTTTGGAACTGATTTTTATGAAGAGCAAATCTTTCCCACTAAATTGGTCATGAGACCAGGACATAAGATTGTCCAGGGACTCCAGAGGATTAATTATCAAATTAATYGTTATCGGCTAAATACCGCAATTAATCGTGATTAATTTTTTTGCCAATATTGCCCAACCCTATGAGAC